TGTATTGTCCGCCAGCAGATGGCTTCTGCTCCTCTCACTCCCTCTGGTATTCAGCTGCTGCAGGAGGAAAACACGGGATCGTTTCTAGCAAATGCTGCACCCGCCGTCCCTCCTGTCCAAGTTTCCCTTCTTTGTGCCCAGACCGCCCTGTGTGCTCCTCTAATTACATCCTCCTTCCCCCTTTGCAGCGCTGAAGGCGATCAACTCTGGATAGAGAGTGGGGTAAGGAGCCAGAAAGTATGTAATTTACCAGCCCTTTCCTTTTCTGAAAGAACACAGAGTGATCAGTATCTAACCCTAAGGCTTCATGTACACGAGCCTACTCTGACAGCTGGCCACTGGGAAAAGCAAACCGCGGCAAAAACACAGTACTGCGGTTGCCTCATTTTTACAGTCTTTTGCGGTTTCCCGCAGTCGGCGGTCAAAGCGTTCCTAAATTGAACTCGATTCTTTCGCGTTCAGGAGAGGGAGGTTTAACCTCATTTAAATGTGGCACCTCTTAAACTCTGCTAAAAGCCTATGTGTACATGGATACATGGACTTTTATGGAGTTGAGTTTAGGAGCTTTGGTAAAAAAATAAGTTGGCCTTATAAGTTTCTTGTTTTGGAGAGATTTGGTTTTCGTGGTCCATTTGTAGCAGCATTAAAAGCCCTCCACTCCTTCCTCCCGGGTCAAGCTGGCTTCGTTCTTATCTCCTTTTCAGATGTCTAATGGTACTCGCCAGGGCTGTCCTCTTTCTCCCTTCCTGTTTATTCTCTGCCTGAAACCCCTGGCTATCGCTATCAGATCCAATCCAGATCTTCAGGAGATACGTACCCATAATGGTGATTTTAAGCTGTCCTCGTTCGCAGATGATATTTTGCTATCACTGACAGAACCCCACACTACTCTTCCTGTTCTGCATCATATTCTCCAACGTTTTTGGGCCTTGTCAGAGTATAAGGTTAACATGTCTAAAACTGAAGCTTTACCTCTCCACATACCCTCTCCGTTATCTTATTTTCTCTTCAGTCAAATTACTCATTACTCCTTGAGGTATTTGGGTACCAACCTTACCTCTTCCTACAATACCCTTTATGAAGCTAATCTCCCCCCGCTTTTTCATGCAATTTCTCAATCCGTAAAGTCTTGGGACAACCTTGCCATTTCCTTTCTTGGAAGGATCAATGTACTGAAAAGGACTATACTGCCCAAGCTTTTGTATTTGTTTGAGATGCTCCCTGTTACTGTTCCTATGTCCAAGCTCTGTTCCCTTCAGAAGTCTCTTTATATGGCATAATAATTCTCACCGCGTTGCCTGTTCAGTTCTTCTCTCCCTTCGATCTGGAGGGGGTGGTTTGGAAGCTCCAGATATAGTGTCGTATTATTTGGCTACTCATCTCCGTACCCTCACCTCCTGGTCTTCTCAGTGCCCCCCTAACAAATGGTCCGAGATTGAGTGGCTGCAGCTATATCCATTGCACCCTTGCTCTTTACTCTCTGGTCTATGACAGACACACAAATCTCATCCTGTAGGCATCTTATGCTTGGGCCTATGCTTTTTTCTTGTGGGTACGTATGTCCATATGGAGGAGGTGTAGGAGTAGATTTGCTCTGACCTCATCTTGCTCACTTCTGACCAATGGCATGCTTAATCTTAGTCTTCCTGATAGTTTGACCCCGGCCCATATAAGTCCCCGGGCTAAAGCCAGCTTGTTTCAATTGCACCACCTGGTCCACCCAGTGATCCGAAAGCTTAGACCCTTTACTGAGTTACCAAAATCTTCATGCATGCCTCCTCACCAGTTTTATGTTTACCTACAGATACAGCATTTTTTCTTTTCCAAGATCCCTTCCCTGACCCTAGAGAAGCCTACTCCTTTCGAATGTATCTTTATCCAGGGTCCATACCAACGGGGCTTAATCTCTTCTATCTATAAATTGCTTCAGGACGCTTTCCCCATTTTACTGAAACACATCTGTACAAGCGGAAGCGGACCCGAATCCTCCAACAAGATATCCCCTTGGATAAATGGAGCAGGATTTGGGGATGCCTCTAGATCTTCCATATGTGTGGCATATAAAGAAAATACTTATAAAATGTTGTTTTGGTACAAGACTCCTGAGGTTCTCCATGCGTGCAGTCCGAGTGTTTCTCCTGTCTGCTGGCGATGTGGCAAAGACATTGGCACTCTTCCACATTTTTTGGCTTTGCCAACACATTGCCCCTTTCTTTAGTGAGGGCATTAGTTTTTTTGCGGTTACTTTTACAGGTCCATATCCGTTTGATCCCATTAACTTTACTGGGCCTACATTTTACAGGACTCTCTAAATATGTCAAGAAACTGTCTTCTCATTTCCTAAAAGCAGCCAGGAGAATCATTCCTATGCACTGGCTTTCTACTATGCCTCCTACACGGTCGGAATTGGTTAAGGTTGTTGCTGAGATTAGAAGAATAGAGTACCTTCCTGCTATGCAAGCTAATCTTGTCCCCCTTTTTGAAGCAGTGTGGGAACCATGGGATCTATTCATTTCTGATAGGTCTACTCAGATGTCTGATATTGCTAGCCAATCCACTGTTACACTAACATTGTATGTATCTGCAATATCATCAATGAACCTGTCTTTTTCTTCTTTTGTTGATTTGTGACTGTTACTTAACAAATTTATGCAACATTTTGCTTGTTGTATGCCTTTTAAAACTCAAAAACTAACTTGGGAAAAAAAAAAAATATATTTTTATAATAAAATTGTAAATCATAAAATAATAAAAAATAAAAAATGCAGTTCCTTACCCTACTGACACTGTCCACTGTTAAGGTAGACTAAGTTTATATTTTTACAGTGACATTTGTTTTCATTATATTTTTTTAAGTTTTTCTTACTTTTTAATTAACCCTTACTAGTTAATTCCTTAAAAAAAATCATCGCTGAGCCCCGATCTTTCATGTTGTTCAGGTAGATCTCCACCTCTGAAAGGTTATGTACCCCTGTTCTAACATTTCTTTTGCAGTTGCATATTGTAACCTTTAGCTAGTCTCATTCTTGGTCAGGATGCTTGAAACAATGTTATCTGCAGGATATATTTTTAAAGCTCAATTAAACTTTTTTGTTTTAATTTTTCTTTTTTTTTTTTCTTTTGAACAAAGCAGTCACTGACAGTGGAAACAGTGGCCTCCCTGGACAGAGACCACTGTAAAGGGGGCTTTAAAAGGGTAGCTTATAGAAAATATAGGGTACTATAGTTTGTCGCCTTTCTACGAGCGCATGCAAATTTAAGGTTTGACATGTTTGATATTTATTTACTAGATGCAACCTCATCTTTTAGATTTTACAAAAAATTAGGTTATTTGCTTTTTTGTGCCCTAAAATTAACTTTAGGGTCTCTGCTTTCAGAAAATATATAATGTTTGGGGGTTTGTGTAATCTTCAGGCCTAAAATTATTTTTTAAAAACGTGTGCTAAAAAAACACAAAGAGGGCTTTGGCAGTGGAAGGGATAAAAAATAACCTGCACACTCCCCTTTCCTGACAAGCACACAATCGGTGTTCATTACACTGCAAGGTCTCTCTCCTCCCTGCTAGTCTCTGGGAGTGGTGCTGGAAACAAGCAGAGAGGTAAGAAGAGATAAACTGCGCAATGTTAAAAATATTAAACATTTAAATCAACATAAAGCACCTTTTTGTTTTTAAAAGCCCCTGACATTCCTAAAAGCACCCCAGAATTTTTAATCTGGACAAGTAGATTGGGACACCGATTTAACCCCTGTAAAAGTATTTTTTTCAAAAATTTCCACACCCGTTTCTTTATAAACTCATTTGGTTTTATATCAGTTGTTTTATATTGTCTTAAGTGTTAGCTGAAGTTAGGCTTTATTTTGTTAGTTTTTTCTATGTAATATCCATCTAACACTACCATCTACAGTGGCAGACATTATGCTGTTTAAAGGTGGCTTTGGTGCTCCTTCATAGATACAGTGGTGGGGAGTGGAGCCATGCTAAGGCCTTAATCATATTGTAGATAGTGTCCATAAAACGCCGAGACGTCGAGTACAGTCATTGCGAGGATCATATGTATTTGCGATAAGCAGAAGCCATTAAACCTCTACAAATCAAGTGAGAGGCTAACAGATGCCATGGTTGTTACAATTTAAATCGCTATTCAAGGAGTTACATGGGACAAGGGACAGATGAGCAGAACTGGATGTGAATTGTCTACATCTGGAGCCACTCATCTGTTTCTAATCACATGTAACATCTTGGAGGCCTGTTTACATACACAGCTGTGGTCCGTGTCAGCTGCTCATTGATTTGTACAGGCTTGCTGACTGAATCTTGGTGCTGTATGGCCTTGATTTACTGTGTGAATTGGGAATACAGGAGGTGTGCTGGATCCCCAGTCAAAAATAAAGAGAAACAAAGCCCAGAAAGAAAACTAATACAGCCACCACAAGGACCGGTAAGCAGCAATATATTACATTTTTGCTCTTGAATTTCGATAGACTTTAATAAAGCAAACCTTAAGTACACGATGAGTTAAAAAAAATGACCAGAAGTCATGAGAATAATAATTTCTTTCAAACTCAGCCCCAAGATTTTCCTAATGTCTGACTTTCATGCACTGCTCTGCATTACTTCCATTACAAATACAATTATACAGCACAAAATCTGTTCTACTCATTGCAGAGTTCCTGTGTCTGATTTCACGTACTACTTATGTAAATGCAAGCTGGTAGACCATTTTATTGTGCTTTTTGGATCTGCCGCTGCAAAATCAATACATTTCTAAGGGCTGCTAGGTGAGTAGTATGGCTAGGCATTTTTTAATTTTAATGACCTACAAAAAAAAAAAAAAAAGTTAATGTGGTTGCTGTGTATCGAGTGCCTGGTTTAGGTAAGTACTATGGACCATCTGAAGGCTCACTAATATAAAAATGTGCTGTTTAATTAATAGTGGATGTGATGCAGTATGGTAACGAGTGTTGTGATTACATTCTAGGTGATTTGTTGATCTGCCCTTATGCTGTATATCCAGGACGACGTCTACAAAGAATATGTAAACATGATGATGAACATAGTCATTCTATCGATGATTCTCTGCATATCATTGTCTTTCTGGATAATATCTATAACTGCAAGTACCTATTATGGTGAGCATTCTGTTTGGGGGTAAATTGTGTCTAAAGGAAATATGGTATATTTTGATGTTCTGCTGTGTTTCCCTCATTCGTTTCTCATAAAGATAAATTTATATTTTAAATATTATGCTTCCATGGTCAATACTTCTTTACAAGATCTTTGTTGAAATTTCAGCAGGGTTCCCTGTGCATTGATATGTTCTTCCTGTTAGTGAGGTTTGTCACTGAATGCCACACATTCATATGTACTGGCAGGATAAAACAGACTGTCGAAATCTGACCCACTTAAATCCATTAGACTCCGTTCACACTGGTGCACTTTTGGTGCGCTGAAACATACTTTTCCAGCACGACAAAAGTGCATGAAAACTATTCCTCTTTAAGTGAGAAGTGTGTGTGTTTTTTTTTTTTCCAAGTTGGATACTTACCTAGTTGGATGCAGCATTGGTCCAATGCTGCATCTGTCCCCCCACCAGCTCTAAGGATGAGAACTCAGCGATCACGAGTTCTCAACGCCACTGTCTGTCAGTCACCGCTCTCTGCTTTGACGCCCCTGCGCTCCCTGGAGCGCTGGGCTGTGGAGGATGCGGTAGCAGCTGCCTCAGGCATTCAGGATTTCACTGATAGACTGAGCCAGCTGCCGCTCCAGACTCTGGGCGATCTTTTCCAGCCTGGACCGGCTGAGTGACATTAGCCGACAGGGGGCTTCAGCCTGCTGTCAGCTAAAAATGGGTCACAGAAGTGCAGAATGAACTGTACTCCTGTGATCCATAAGAGAAGTATTGCAAAAGAGCTTTGGCTGTACTTATCCTTTAAGGCTACTCTCACACTGGAAAACACAGCAAAAACGCACTCGCGGTGCGTTTTTGATGCAGTTTTAAAGTCACTTGTCACACGCTTGTAAGAAATGCACCGCAAATGTGGCAAAAACGCATAGCGGTTTTTCCTGCGTTTGTGGTGCTTTTTTTTTTATAAGACCTATGGCTCAAATGTGCGTTTTTTTGTTTTTGCCATGTTTTCCATTTATTTCAATGGGAAGTGTTTTTTTATTTATTTATTTTTTTACCACACCAAATGTACACCAAAAAATGCAGCAAGCAGGGTTTTAAAAATGCATCTGACCCACAACGGATCAGTGTAAAGAGTTCCATAGAAATACATGGTCACGTGGTTTTTTTCTGCTTTTTTTACACGCAAAAGCGGAAGAAAAACAGATCGGTGTGAAAGCAGCCTAGATCCTATGCAGCTGTTCACATCACTGCGCTGTAGGTGTGCTGTGTTTTGAAAAAGTCCTGCGTGCTGCATCTTTGCTGCAGTTTTTTAAAAGCGGACTTTCCGCTCCAAGCCAATAGGAACACACCAAATGTGCATCAGTGGTAGTACAGAGGCAATCACACTTGTTAAAATGCTGGTAAACAATTACATATACCCAGTGAAGTGACTGGCCTTTTTATCTGTTGTCTTCTCTCTCTTGTCTGAGAGTTCAGAAAAATAGGGGCAGAGAGTTGAGGTTACAGCTGACAACACACAGGAACAGAGCTGAAACTGTCATTTTGCTGGATATCCCTTCCCCTGTCACCATTTTTTTTTTTCTTGGTGTCAGATAAACTTGTCAGAGGAATGAAGCCGCAGACAGAAATTACACTTTGTGCTCTGAATTGGGACAAGTACACACTACAGAGGGATATGCTTTATTATATAAAAATACTCTATACACATACACCACTTAATGGCCCTGTAATCTGTTTTTCATTAAATTGTTTCTTACTGTGTTTTTCTGCTTCCTTGTAATGTCCTGGGTGAGATTCTAAACCTCTCATCTTCCCCCCAGTTTGTTTGAGACAAGCAGAGCAGGTTAGTTGTGGTCGTGCATGTCTGCTGCATGCACACTACACACCTCATAGTCCATGGTCTCTAGTCCATCTCAAGAGTAGGAAAGAGGGTGGCTATGCTTTTGCTTATAGTGGGAACATGGAGAACGAACATAACCACCCTCTAGTCTAACAGGAAATCAAATCACAGCAGCAAAACAAAAAGAATTTAGAGATTTGGAGGAAGCTGAAAACAATGGAAGGTGTTTTTGGAGTTAAGAATGGAATGGAATATATTTGTAAAACCAGAGCTTAGTGTCACTTTTGACTGCACATGATTTTAGCTGCACAATTCAGTTACTAAAATTATCCCATGTAATATATTTTAGTGTAAGTAATAAATGTAAAATTTTCACCATTTATTTTTTTTTTTTTTTTTTTCATCCTCCTGTTTTATTAGGTACACTACGTCCAATATCGCCATGGCGTTGGCTGTTTTCTGTGATTGCTCCAATTATTATTGTGTCACGTGGACTAAAAAAGAAGAGCTTAGATAGTAGTGGAGCTCTTGGAGGTATGTTTATAGTCTTCACTGCCTCTCTGGATTTTGCAGGAGTATTGTTTGCAGTTCCTGTACCCGAATACAGTCAAGACAAGTAATTAAAATCTGAGACAAAATGCATAAATGTGAAAATCTATAGTTTGGCATTACCTAATGAAATACTGAAGTACTATTGAAGAGGTGTAAATGTAACCTTTTATTATATTATAATTTCAGAACTTTTTCCACCTTTTAATGTAACCTAGAAATTGTACAACTCAGTTGAACAACAAATTGAAATGTTTTAGGTGGAGGGAAGTAAAAAAAACACAAAAAATAATATGGTTGAATAAGTGTGCACACCCTTAAACTAATACTTTGTTGAAGCACCTTTTGATTTGATTCCAGCACTCAATCTTTTTGGATTTCACTCTTATCACCACGGTACACCTTGACTTGGCAATATTTGCCCACTCTTCCTTACAAAAACACTCCAAATCTGTCAGATTTCGAGCGCATCTCCTGTGCACAGCCTCTTCAGATCACCCCACAGATTTTCGATCATATTCAGGTCTGGGCTCTGGCTGGGCCATTCCAAAACTTTCATCTTCTGGTGAAGCCATTCCTTTGTTGATTTGGATGTATGATCGTTGTCATGCTGAAAGATGAAGTTCCTCTTCATGTTCAGCTTTCTAGCAGAAGCCTGAAGGTTTTGTGCCAATATTGACTGGTATTTGGAACTGTTCATAATTCCCTCTACCTTGATTAAGTTGAATAAAAACAGCCCCAAAGCATGACGCTGCCACCACCATGCTTCACTGTGGGTTTGGTGTTCTTTTGGTGATGTGCAGTGTTGTTTTTGCGCCAAACATGTCTTTTGGAATTATGGGCAAAAAGTTCAACCTTGGTTTCATCAGACCATAACACATTTTCCCAAATGCTTTTGGAAGACTTCAGATGTTGTTTTGCAAAATTTAGCCGAGCTTGGATGCTTTTCTTCGTAAGAAAAGGCTTCCGTCTTACCTCTCTACCACATAACCCAGACATATGAAGAATACAGGAGATTGTTGTCACGTACCACACAGCCAGTACTTGCCAGATATTCCTGCAGCTGTTTTAATGTTGCTGTAGGCCTCTTGGCAGCCTCCCAGACCAGTTTTCTTCTCATTTTTTCATCAATTTTGGAGGGACGTCCAATTCTTGGTAATGTCAGTGTTGCGTCATATTTTCTCCACTTGATGATGACTGTCTTCACTGTGTTCCATGGTATATCTAATGCCATGGAAATTCTTTTGTACCCTTCTCCTGTCTGCTACCTTTTAACAATGAGATCCCTCTGGTGCTTTGAAGCTCTCTGTGGACCATGGCTTTTGCTGTAGGATGCAACTAAGGAAATGTCAGGAAAGACCTACTAGAACAGCTGAACTTTATTTGGGGTTCATCAGAGGCACTTTAAATGATGGCAGGTGTGTACTGACTCCACTGTAACATGATTTTGAATGTGATTGCTTAATTATGAACATAACTACATCCCCAGTTAATAAGAGGGTGTGCACACTTATGCAACCACATTATTTTAGTTTTTTTTATTTTTTACTTAACACCCCCCCCAAAAGAGTTCAGTTTGTCTTTCAATAATTGAGTTGTACAGTTTATAGGTTACAATAAAGGTGGGAAAAGTTGTGAAATGATTTATCTTTTTTTTTTTTTTTTTTTTTTTACATCACAGAAACCTGACATTTTAACAGGGGTGTGTAGAATTTTTATATCCAGTGTGTGTATATGTATGTGTATATATATGTATGTGTAACAAATTATGCACTGATTTGCATGTTCATGAGGGAAGTAAGTATTTGATCCCCTATCAATCAGCAGGATTTCTGGCTACCAGGTGTCTTTCATAATAAACTGAGATTAGAAGCAGTCTCCTAAAGGGAGTGCTGCTAATCTCATTTTGTTACCTGTATAAAAGACACCTGTCCACAGGAACAATCAAACAATTAGGTTCCAAACTCTCCACCATTGCAAAGACCAAAGAGCTGTCCAAGGATGTCAGGGACAAGATTGTAGGCCTACACAAGGCTGGACTGGGCTACAAACTATCGCCAAGCAGCTTGGTGAGAAGGTGACAACAGTTTGTGCAGTCATTCCCAAATGGAAGAAACACAAAACTGTCAGTCTTCTTAGGTCTGGTGCACCATGCAAGATCTGACCTCGTGGAGTGTCAATGATCATGAGAACAGTGCGGAATCATCCGAGAACTGCACGTTAGGATTGTGTCAATGATCTCCAGGCAGCTGGGACCACAGTCATCAAGAAAACAATTGGTAACACACTACACTGACAAGGAGTGAAATCCTGCAGTGCCCGTAAGGTCCCTCTGCTCAAGAAAGCACATGTCCAGGCCATCTGAAGTTTGCCACTAAACATCTGAATGGTGCAGAGGAGTTCTGGTTGAAAGTGTTGTGGTCAGATGGGACCAAAATCAAGCTCTTTGACATCAACTCAACTCGCCGTGTTTGGAGGAGGAGGAATGCTGCCTATGACCCCAAGAACACCATCTCAACTGTCAAACACAGTGGTGGAAACATTCTGCTTTGGGGGTGTTTTTATGCTAAGGGGACAGGACAACTGCATCAAAGGTACGATAGATGGGGGAATGTACCGTCAAATCTTGGGTGAGAACCTTCTTCCCTCAGCCACGGCATTGAAAATGGGTTGTGGATGGGTGTTTCCAGCATGACAATGACCCTAAATACAGGGTCAAGGCAACAAACGTGTGGCTCAAGAAGAAGCACATTAAGGTCCTGGAGTGGCCTAGCCAGTCTCCAGACCTTAATCTGATTGAAAATCTGTGGAGGGAGCTGAAAGTTTGAGTTGCTAAACGTCATCACCAAACCTTAATGACTTGGAGAGGATCTGCCAAGAGGAGTGGGCCAAAATAATCAATCGGTTTCTCAGTGTTACAATACACCTACCTTCAATTTTTAGACTTATTATTATTATTATTATACAGTATTTATAAAGCGCCAATAGTTCACTCAGCGCTGTACATTACAGACAGAACATGTGACAGAACAATACCAATACAATGCAAAACATGAGGGGATCGAGGGCCTTGCTCTTTCGAGCATACAATCTAGGAGGGAGGGGATGGTGGCACAGGAGGAGATAGCTGTGGGGGATGGAGTGGTAGGAAGAGTGGAGGAGGTCGGCAAGTTAGCAGGGGGTGGGGTAGGCTTCCCTGAAGAGATGGGTTTTCAGGGTGCGCCTAAAGGAGAGGAGAGTAGGTGATAATCTGATGGGTTGGGGCAGGGAGTTCCAGAGGATGGGTGACACCCTGGAGAAGTCCTGGAGGCGGGCATGGGAGGAGGAGACCAGGGAACTAGAGAGAAGGAGATCTTGTGAGGAGCGGAGTGTGCGTTGGGTGGTACTTGGATATTAGGTCGGTGATGTAGTCCAGGGCAGTATGGTGGACAGCTTTGTACGTCAGTGTTAGGATTTTGAATCTGATCCGTTGCGCGATCGGAAGCCAGTGGAGGGATTGGCAGAGGGGGGGTGGCGGAGACGGAGCGGTTGGAAAGGTGAATGAGCCTGGCAGCCGTATTCAGGATCGACTGAAGCGGGGATAGCCAGCGGCGAGGCAGGCCAGTGAGGAGGGAGTTGCAGTAGTCGAGTCGTGATATGATGAGGGAGTGGATGAGCTGTTTAGTGGTTTCTGGAGTTAGGAACGTGCGTATTTTGGCGATGTTGCGGAGGTGGAGTCTGCACGAGTTTGTTAAAGATTGGACTTGGGGTTGAAAGGATAGGTTGGAGTCCAGAATGACACCAAGTACTCTGGCCTGCAGGGCGGGTTTGATGGTAGCGTTGTTGGATGTGACGGAGAAGTCAATGGGGGGTGGTGTCCGGGCTGGGGGGAAGACAAGAAACTCGGTTTTGGAGAGGTTCAATTTAAGGAAGTGGAGTGACATCCAGTCTGATATGTCGCTCAGTAGGTGTGTGATTCGGGCTGAGACCAAGGGGGTGAGGTGGGGGGTTGAGAGATAGATTTGTGTGTTGTCGGCATAGAGGTGGTAGTTGAAGCCGTGAGAGTGTATGAGTTGGCCAAGGGAGGAGGTATAGATGGAGAAGAGAAGGGGCCCGAGGACAGAGCCTTGACTGATCATTTCTTTGTGAGTGGGCAAACATTCAAAATCAGCAGGGGATCAAATTCTTATTTCCTTCACTGTGTGTGTGTGTATGTATAAGTGTATATGTGTAAATATATATATATATATAAAATACATGACCAAAAATATTGGCACCCCTGCATTTCTGTCATATAATGCACCACTGCACCCAGAAAATTGTTGCAATTACAAATGTTTAGGCATTCTCATTCTTTCTTTTGTTTTTATTGGTATGAAACAAAAAATGGAGAAACAAAAAGCCATATCTGACACATTGCACACAAAACCCCAAAAATGGCCTGGACAAAATTATTGGCACCCTTAATTTAATATTTGGTAGCACACCCCTTGGAAAAATAAGCGAAATCAATCACTTCTTGTAACCATCAACGAGTTTCTTACACCTCTCTACTGGAATTTTGGACCACTCTTTTGTTCACCTACTTCTCCAGGTCTCAGATTTGGAAGGGTTTCTTTTCCCAACTGCTCTTTTGAGATCTCTCCATAGGTGCTCTATGGGATTGAGATCTGGACTCATTACTGGTCAGTTCAGTACTCTCCAGCGCTTTGTCTTAAACCATTTCTGGGTGCTTTTTGACGTGTGCTTTGGGTCATTTCCTGTTGTAAGACCCATGACCTCTGATGGAGACTAAACCTTCTGACACTGGGCAATACATTGCACCTCAGAATTCTTTGATCGTCTTCAGATTTCATAATGCCATGCACACGGTCAAGACATCCAGTGCCTGAAGCAGCAAAGCAACCCCAAAACATCAGTGAACCTCCATCATGTTTGAGTGTATGGACTGTATTCTTTCCTTTTAAAGGCCTCATTTCTTTTTCTGAAAACAGTAGAATGATGGG